CTTTATACAAAAACATAATTGAGGAAATTACACTTAAAATCAAATTAGACATCTACGCCACTGTTCAGTATACTACTGGTCACTCTAACATTGTTACAAATTTGCTATTATCTTACTCGCTCTTGTTCCAGTAAATTTCCCAACTAAACTACGTGCCTGTTATACTAGCACCCACAAACAAATATTCAATGGAAGAATATTGAAGCACTCAAGCACAGTGAAGAGGTGAAATTATTTATTTATCAAAGATTATATTGAGTATTTATGTAGATTTGTCTTTTTTACTAAATTTAGTTTTGATTCATTTATATGTAGGATACTTATTAACATACTCACTTTGTACAAAATGTAGCCAGATGTAGATTTACATAACTAATTTTTACAATGATTATGTGACAAAGATGGTCACAAACTCGAACATTCAAAAATGATCACCATTATGACAAGCTTCACAAACCCATGAAATTATAGGTGCAATAATCGTTTGTGAAACCATCAGGTTTGTTGTATTATTGAAGTTTATACAAGACTTTATATATTTTAAAGATTTTATTGTTTTTAAAGGTTGTTTACCACAAAGATTAATATATTTCTTCGTTACGAACCAACTCTGGAAACAGTTATTCCGCTGATTTTTGGGTACCGGTAAAATTGCGTTTTTAGAAGGCATCGACTGTTTCTTCTGATGACTGGAATCTATGACCACGTAGCCTTTCGTTGATGCTTTGTAAAGTAAAAAAAAATCGTTGGGCCTTGGTCTACACTGTTAACTTGATACTAGAGAGAAAAAATAAGATTTGTACAAATCTAAAGCTTAAATTTAAGAATAGAATAGAACAAAATAGTAGTTCACGTAAAGATGAAGATAATTACATGTCCTATCCATCGAAGGCATGCTAATTTAATACATTTTACAACGTCAGGTTCCCCAAAACTGCTGAATAACTAAAAGTTGTAACGCTACGCCACAAACCCTGTTCTTGGATTCCTCCATATATTTTCCTTAGAATTTTTATCTCGAAACATTTAAGTAATTCTTGGTCGTTCTGTGTAAGTGACCACGTTTCTGACCCGTATGTTAACACTGGCCTTATTAGTGTTTTATATATGGTAAGTTTAATTTTTCTGGGTAGTTTTGGGACCATCTGTTTCCTCAAGCCATAATAGCACTTATTGGCAAGCAATATTCTTTTAATTTCTTCGCTGACATTGTTGTCTTTGGTCAGCAGCGAGCCCAGGTACACGAAGGTGTCCACACCTTCCAGTACCGGATCATCAATTAATAATCTAGGTATCTGGTTGCCTGATCTAGTACAATACATATACATGGTTTTCTGTGCGTTAATTTTTAATCCCATTCTCAGTGCAGACGCCCTTAATGATCGAAATGCTTCGATAAGAGATTCTGTGGACCTTCTTCTTCTTTTTTATAAGCAAAATGCTTGTTTAATGTCGATTAATGCCTCTATTGGAGGTTATCACTCCATCTTTTGCGTAGTCGCCCGATACTTTTACCTTTTGGTGATTTGTCCCTCGCTATTCTGACTAATCGGGTCTCTTCCATTCTGTTTATGTGTTCGTTCCATTCCTTTTTTTCTGTTCAGTGTCCACTCATTTATTTCTGGTATATTGCATTTTCTTCTGATCTCTTCACTCCTCATTCGATCCCTCAGTGTGTTTCCTGTAATTCTCCTCAGTAAACGCATCTCCGCTGTTTCTAGTAGTTGCTGAGTTTTGGAGGTATCCGGTCTTATCTCTGAAGTGTATGTCATTATTGGTCTTATTGTTGCTTTGTAGATTCTTGATTTCACGTCGGTATTAATGTGAGGATTGCGCCATATCGTGTTATTAAGAAAACCTGCTCTTTTATTAGCCTTTTGTACTTGATTTTTCACTTCCTTCTCCACATCTCCGAAGCTAGACAGTGTAATTCCTAGGTAATTTGTCTCCATTACTTGCTCAATGCTGATACCGTCGATTTCCAGTTTACATCTAATTGGTTCTTTACTGATTACAATTGTTTTAGTTTTCTGTGTAGAGATCACCATATTAAAGTCCTTTGCCCTTGTGTTGAATATATGGGTTAGTCTTTGTAGATCGTCTTCATTGGATGCAATTAGGGCCGCATCATCTGCATAGCAGAGTATTCTGATTTCTTTGTTCCCCATTTTGTATCCTCTTCCTTTATTAATAGTATTGATGATTTCATCCATGATTAGATTGAATACCGTTGGACTAAGCGAGTCTCCTTGTCTTATTCCATTGCCCATATCTATTGGATCTGTAAGCTGGTCATCTATTCTGACTTCCATATTGTTGTTCTGGTAAATGTTCTCTATTGTTTTTATAACATTTAGTGCAATTTCTCTATCGTAAAGAAGGTGAATTACATCTTTAAGCTTTACTTTATCGAACGCTTTCTTCAGGTCTATTAGACATATGAATGCTGGTCTGTTACACTCTAGTGCTTTCTCGGTAATCTGTTTTATGATGAATGCTGCATCTGTGCACGATCTTCCTGTGCGAAAACCCTGCTGTTCATCCACTAAGGTAATTCTCTGATTTATTTGGCCTTGCAATATTTTGGTTGTAAGCTTCAAAGTGGTGTTTAATAAGTTGATACCTCTGTAGTTTTCAGGTTGTTTTTTATCTCCTTTTTGGTATAGTAGGATAAGCTCGCTTTTCTTCCACTCTTCAGGTATTTTATTATGTTTGTTAATTTTTTTAATTAGTGTTGTTAGCTGTTCTGTTAATGCTTCTCCACCATATTTCAATATTTCATTTGGAATTCCATCTTTACCTGCAGCTTTTCTGTTCTTCAGTTTTTCTAAAGTTTGTTTTACTTCTTGTACGGTTATCTCGACTTCCTCGTTTGTAATGATTTCTGGTGTTTCTGGTTCCAACATCATTTGCTGTTCATCATTACAAAGCTTCATTAGGTATTCAATCCATGTGTCGTTATTTATGTGTTTCGGTTCGATTAAGTCTTTCATCTCTGATCTTTGGCCTCTTATGAAATGCCATATTTCCTTTTGTAGACCGTAAAAGTCGTGTTCCATTTCTTTTGAGAAGCGTTCCCAGTGTTCGTTTTTAATTTTTCTTACTAGTGCTATTGTTTCGTTTCTTATCTTTTTGTTATTGTTGTATTCTTGTGGTGTTTTGTTAGACATGTATCTTAAGTAAGCTTTCTTTTTTCTTTGCATTTTTCTTTCACTTCTGCGCAGAACCATGGAGTTTTCCGCTTTTGGAAATATTTATTTTTAAGAATTTTCCTTTCTCCTACAGCTTCTTTTGCTGAATCTAGGACCTGCGTGGACTAAATCAACGAATATGTGGTGGGTGTGGACTCCGAACTCAAGCGTTTTCTCAAGAATCTGCCTGACTATGAAGATCCGTTAATTTATTGGGTCGGAAACCGCACTGATAGTTCCCAACTATTTGTTCAGCATTGGGGATCAATCTTGTGTACAATAGGTTGGACAATACTTTATATGCCACGTTAAGTAGGGTGATGCCTCTATAATTATCGCATACCATCATATCTCCCTTTTTGTAAAGAAGGAGCACTACACCTAATTTCCAGTCTGCGGGCGTTTCCTTCCTTTGCCAGATTTCGGTTACTAATTTATGCATGTGTTTAAAAAGGGCGTCACCACCATTTTTAAAGAGTTCGGCAGGAAGATTGTCCAAACCAGGGGCTTTGTTATTTTTCAGTTTTGAAATGGCTTCTCTAATTTCTTCTTCAGTGTGGGGCGGCTCTTGAGCGTTTTCATCTATTTCAGGCAAAGTAATTTCTATTTGGTCTTCTTCTCGACTGTCGCTAAGCAGTTCTTCAAAATGATTCGCCCACCTGTTTAGTATCTGTTCTTTGTCACTAATTATGGAACCATATCTGCCTTTACATGCTGTTATTCTGGGTTTGAATTATTTTCTGCAGCTGTTTATCTTCAGTTAGAATTTTCGTGAGTCTTTTCTATTATGGTGGTCTTTTTTTCTTCTCGTCTAAGATTTTCATAGTCTTCCAGGTTTGATCTAGTTCTGCGCTGCTGAAGTCTCTTATATGCTTCATTTTTCTGTTGGTTAATGGATCTACATTATTCGTCAAACCAATCTTCGTTTTTACAAAATAAGAGAGAAATATATGGAAATACATGCAGCAGACTTAGGGCGGGATTGATGACATGGAAGGAGGCTAGTGGTGTATTGTGTGACCTTCCTGTGCCATATTCTCCTTGCACATTGGCGATCATTCTGGCCCACATAATTGCAGATTTTTCAACCGAGAGATTCGTCGTTAGCTGAAGTCCAACTGATACCAAAATGAGAAATCCACAAATGATAACCCAATACAAAGAATTGCTGTTGTAAATTCCTGGAAGCAGTATGAGAGGAAGACCAAAGAAAACTTGGTGAGAGAGGTTTAGACAGGACACGTTTGTGAAGACATTGTTTTGCAGTTGATATTGGTATGAGCCTAGATAAAAACTTGGAGAAATAGGAAGCAGACCCCACATACGGTAAATGCAAATAGAATGATACATTTTTTTCTATATCATACCAAAAATGTACAGCGTTCATCAGTATATATAAGATCATTATTATTTTCGATATATAAATGTTTAGACAATGTCTATTATTATATACAAATATGTTAAAAATGTACATCTATACATATTTAATCGGTTAAAGGCCTTAAACTAAGATAAACTATTATACAGTCAAGATTCTCAAAATTGAGCTTACATAAAAGATTCTTTACATTATTCAATGAACAAATAAATACTATAAAAAAATAAAATAAATTGCTGGCATTCGGAATACTATCAAAGTTTTAGTCGAAAGCTAGAAAAAATTACTCTGTTATCACAAATACTAACATAAAAGTAAAAATGTCGTTTTGCTGCATTGGAAACAAAAATAAAATAATATCTTTTGATTTAAACTTAACTTGCTCTATTATAATAATAAGTTGGACATTTTATTAATCCTTTTAGGGCGTTTTAAATACTTTAAAATCAGTATTTTTGAGATGTGTTTCAATTTTAATAGAGTCTTATTTTGTAATTGTGATGTCATTGTAATAATAAAAACTAGAATATACTTTTTGCATTCAGAATACTACAACAATAGTCTTTAAATACTTATATAAAAAATAAAGCTATTTTTATAAAATAAATAAAATTTGTTCATTTTACGTATAGATCTTAACTAAAAAATGTGTATATTAAAGAAGTGATTGTTCTAGCATAATCTTATCAAACCCAGAAGGAGGTGGATGGTTAAAGTTGTCCAAAATTATGTCCAATATAGCTCCATCATCAACTACAAAAAATAAAATGATTCGTAAAAAATCTGTTAAATAGCCCTAATTTACTTTATGAAAAATATTCCTGTCATATATAAATGTGGCAATGAAATCAGAATATGAAATAAGAGGGTTGACCAAAACTCACCAGAAAGGCAATGGCCATGTTACAACAAGTCATAAATGTTGTAATATGTACTGTTCAGTGCATGATATACCAAGTATACAAGCAGTGGCTTTCATCATCACCCAACAATGAGAAAAGTTTGTACACAGCTATCACACTATAAATACCAAAATCATATAAATCAAGCTTAATACCAAACCTATAAAACTTAACATAATACAGGTATACGCCTTGACTAGATTTCTACTCAGAGTTAGAGAAGGAAATGTCAAGTAAAACAGGAAGAAAAATGAAGATTATAATCAGAGTCTTTAACACTGAAGTGGGTCCAATCCAGACAATTGAGGACCACTCTACAAACATTCTAGCAAAATGAAGGTTAGGAGAACATCTTCTAATGTACTGTGCCATCAAAGAAATAGCTACAGCAAACACCGTGTTCCACACTCTGTCCATGATGATTATAAACATGAAAGTCACCTGGCGGTAGATATTGAAATCAAATATATTTGATACTCTGAATTCAGCAGAGTAAAATACATATGCTTTATTGAGTATAAAAAGGCCTTTAATTAAGTGAAGTGGAATAAACTTTGTGGCAAAATGACAGAGATAAGTTCCTCATATCATTTACCTTATTGGCAAATTGTATACAAGCCAATATTAAGTAGAAAATAGCATGAGTGAATGTTTCTCAATACATAAATGATTATGGCAAGGCTGCATTTTTTCACCCATTCTATTGAATTTATATGAACAATGAATGTATTTATTTCAATGGTAGAACCATTTACAATAAAATACAACAAATAGTAAAAAGTATAGATCATGTACAATAAACATCAAAACAATAACAAAGAAATAAGTAAACAGTAAGTTAAAATGTGTACATTAAAACAGTATATCAAATCACAAAAATGTCAAAAAAATATCAGTATCACATAGTAAGTATTACATATCTAGATAAATAGTCTACTCTTAAGTTGCCTTTGAAAGCATTAATGTTTGGGCAGAAAGGATCCAATAGGAGGTCATTGCAAGAGCTGAGCATCCTCGACAAGGGAAAATGACGAGCATAATCAGTCCTATGAGAGGGAATATAAAAGAGTGCAGTGTGTCGAGTTCTATGTATTGTGTTTAAGTGCACAATGGCTAATAACGAGGGACAATGAATAACACTGTTTAGAATTGTAAATAAAAATAACATATTAGCTCTTAACCTGCAGTTCTTCAATGTAGGAATGTTAAATTGAGACAATATTATAGAATAATCTATGAAATCATTTTCAGTATTTTTTATATTAATATGTGCTTTAAAAGCTAAAGATCTTAGAAACTTCCACTGAATGCTCTCCAATCCATTAATATATACTTGATGAAATGGGGACTAGACAACAGAGCAGTATTCAAGACTTGAGCATAACAGAGAGCAATGCAATAATTTGAATACAATAGGTGAGAGATTATGACTGTAACGATAAATAAAACCAAGATTATGAACTTCTGTTTCCTTAATTTTAAGAAACTGTCTTCTAAATGTCAATGCACAATCCAATAATACACCCAAATCTCTAATCTCAGTAACTGAATCCAATCCATGAATTATTAGTAGCTACAAATGATTGAAATGAAGGAATATGAGTTGGAGGGACAAATTCATCAAACCTTTTCCTAAATCTATTTCAGAAATTTTTTAAATTGCTGCATGCCGAATTCTGTATCTAAAATACTGCATCTTAAAAAAAACATGGATGTGATATTTGAACTGTCTATAACTTGTCACTCATCAAACTCATCTCATCACTCTTTAAATTCCTTCATCTATGTTATCTAGAAACTCCATTATTTATACTAGGAAAAAGATGTTTAGCTATTGTTAACAATCAGAACTTCTATAAACAAAAGAAGAGAAATTTCACAGTTAATGTAACTACCATTTATGCATTGCTTAATAAGAGAACAACTCTGAAGAGACATAATATAAAATAGGGCTTAAAATGTTAAAGAAATATATGTTTTGAAATAAAACTTGTGTAGATAAAAAATAATTTTAAGCCTGTATTCAATTTTTTATTTAGTTTTTCTTTATTATTTATGTAATTAATTAATTTGATTTATGTTTCATTAGTAAGTAAGATATTCTAGGATACTGCATGTATATAATTATTTCATAACTTTTGAAGACAGTTATAGCTATTAACACATAAGTTTTTAGTGATTTTGTATTAAAAACCTGATTATTTTTCTTCACTCTGTAAATAAAATACTCAAAATCTTACCATATAAAGCTGGGTAAACAGTTCCCTTAATATTACTAACTGCATAGTCCACTTCCTTTCCATTGATAAAGAACTTTAACTGAAGATGGTCAAATGCCACTCCTATTATATCACCCTCTATGATTTGTTTTATTCCTTCATCAGGAGACCCAATGCTGCTTATTTTATGTAGTTCTTGTTTTTTGTGGCGAATTATATGGTCACTACCTAGAGCCCAAGAAAATTCATCTTGACCGCCTAAAAAAGATATGTTTTCAATATTATGCAAACAATAATTGAATAATAATGGTAAGCTATATAGTTCTAAAGCGTCTTTCTTGAGGCACTTTTACATTACTTTCTAGATTTTGTAGGAGTAAACCATAATTACAAGTTAGGTGTAATGTCTGAAAAAATGTCTTATTAAAAAAAAAGGTGAAAAGAACATTCCTTAACGTCTATATCTACATCTCAAAAGCTGCATACAAAAAAACTAGTTTTACTTAATAAATAAATAAATTGGCAGTAGCTTATTAGTATGTGAAACAATTTATTGTTTCAGATAATGTTCAATATTTTATTTATTTATATACCTACCTTGTGTCAAACTGACATCAGTTTGTCTAGTAGCAAGACCTACCGCCCATGTACCGTTTTGCTGAACCTTAACTTCGAAATATGATTTTGATTGAACCAAAGGAGCATTTCCTAAGACTGCTCCCGAACCACAGAGTCGCAAACCACCTTTTACAACAACTACTTCATATCCTACAAGTAAATAAATATTAGAAGAGCTGTACTAAGAAAATGCTGTTTTGATTACCCATAAAAGCTGTGTCCAACTGAATTGGATTGTCTCTTGGTATGTGAGGCACTGTCGGATGAAACGTAAAATTATCTAAACATCCTTTTAAACAACAAAATACTGAAACAGACGACATATTTATTTATTTTACTATGCAGAATTCATTGATCATAACCTATATCTTCTATTTTCAAATCTGACGTTTAGCGAATTTCACTGTCACTGTCATGAATGATAGCCGGGTCAGAAATACAGGAAGTGATTTAAGGTTAGTTTAGATTGCCAACAATCAACAAATTTTTATACTGTTTTTAGTTTTTATATAATAAATAGCAAATAATTCTTCTACAACATATATAATCAAGATGGAGCAATTTTTTACGTTACCGTTTACAATTTTGGAAATACCTCAGATGAGAATTAAAAAACCTTCATGGGTGAAACAACCCTCGGCAATGACTGTGTTCTCAATAGTATTAGTTTCATATTTCCTTGTCACAGGAGGTAATGGGATAATACATAAATATATCATTGACAAAAAGTTTACAATAATATTATTTTAGGAATAATTTATGATGTGATAGTTGAGCCTCCCAGTGTTGGATCAACAACTGATGAACATGGACATTCTAGACCTGTAATATATTTGTTATTAATCGCCAATATAATATTCACAATTTACTTTTTAGGTTGCTTTTATGCCATATAGGGTTAATGGTCAATACATAATGGAAGGCCTGGCTTCAAGTTTTCTATTCTCATTGGGAGGATTAGGATTTATTGTACTGGACCATATACACACTACAAGTACTCCAAAACTAAACAGACTATTATTAACTACTGTTGGCTTTATTTGTGTCTTGGTTTCATTTTTTACCACCTGGATATTCATGAGAATGAAATTACCTGGATATCTTCAGTCATAAGTATGCTTTAATAAAATGTATCTAATTATCCCATTTTTGTACCTTGCAATAAAAGAAAGATCTGAAATATTGATATTATTTGTAGTATTTTTTGTTCTATTTGAAGTTTAAAATTATTTTAATACACAATTTAAAAAATTTTCGTAATATTCAATAATGTACCTAACATGTATTAGCAAAACCTTAAGTATCTCAAGTACCTGATCAGTGTGGGAAAAGTGGAACCAAAACAGGAGCTGAGTACTAGGTTAAAAAGAAACACAAAGCAAAGGCTGAGATCCTTAGTATATTATAGTAGTATATGTATTTTTTCCTAGTTTTTTAGGTGGTAAGTGCATAATTGGGTTTTCGAAAGTCATTATTTTCCTGGACAGCAAGACATATAAAACCAGCCCACCAATTAAAATTATTTAAAAAAAAACCTTCAAAATAGTATACTCCACAAATTTGAGGAAATTTGATAGTGGAGGAAAGTGGTATTTTGGATTTAAATTGGAAAGTAATAATCGCTAATTTCTGTATTTATTTAATCAGATTTCATTATTTCAGTGTAAAATTACTTGAGAAAGCAACTTACACAACACACACTCATCATTTGCTAGTACTACTAGTTAGAATATAGCTTAAAACTTGGTCTTTTTGATATTGGGCTAAGTCTACACCTCTGATGCACATTCAATATCAATGAAATTCGTCACCTTATATTGTGATCGCTGAAAGCAAGACAACAAAAAATATTGTTTTTTCTTTTTCCTATGTTGCAAAAGCTGTTATTTGAGTTTTTAAATTAGTAACACAGGTTTTCAATAAATATTAAAAGGCAAAGTTTTGTCTGGCCAAAGGAGGGAGATAATAGCAAATTTAATTGTTTTTATGCAGCCACAAGCGGTAGAAAATAAACATATTAAAGATTTTGAAAAACTACAAAAGTGTGATGCCTTGGCAACGGGAGTAAGTTTAAATACTATAAAACAAATCTCTCCTGAAACTAAAAATATATGGTGCTTCGACAACAAAGGAATGAAATCTACCCCAAAATCCAACTTTTTGACATTTTTTTTACAGAGTACATTTTTTATGTATTGTGTTATAATAATAAACTTTTATTCACGGAAAAACGATGTCCTACTTTGCGATATGTAACAAAAAAAAATTATACAGGGTCACATAAAATGTTAAGAAAAGTGATGAGGAATATGCGATTTGATGGAGGAGAACGAAGATTAACAGGAAAATTCTAGTGGAAAAACCTGATATACAAGGGCTTCGGAGAAATTTATTAGGAATAGTAAACATTATAATATGGAAGAAAATCGGCTCATAATTTACATGGATAAAACTTATATCCATTCCCATGACAAAAAATTTTGTGAGGTATATTTGCTATATATAAATTGTATGAGAGAAAATTTATTTTATTTATATAAAAAACAAAAACTAATAAACATACAGGTCATATTGTTCCCATGCAAAATTTATCAACTAGCTTACAGTTGCAGAAAAAACGACAACTAGTATTGCCATCATTAGTTGTTCCTGCTTTGGCACATCCACCACTATACCTACTTTCTCTTTCAAACCTTATTGAATTAGTCTTTTTCTATCTTCCTTCATAGTTTTTTTTTATCTTGAGATCTTGCACTCCATTTTTTTGGTTACCTTATGTGGAGGACACACCCCATGAACTTGATCCATGCGGGCAATATTGACATTCCGTAAGCAGTAGATGAGTCATGTATGGCTTTCGCACTAACCAACGGAAGGTTATTCATCCAGTCCAAATACTATGGACATACCACATACCTATACAAGGAAACCACATACATATGTCCCCATACGTATAACTCTTGACATTTCCCATTATTTTTGTAACAAACCAAATAGCGTCATCTTAATGGTATCAGTTGATAACCACAAACTATGCATTTAAAAGTAAGTTATTTATTTATAAGTGTAATTTATTAGTTTTTATATAGATTAAATCAAAATACAAATTTAGTTGTGAGATATTTTCTCTAATTTTATATTTTTACATTTTAATTTACATAATTTTTCTGTATTACTGTCGTTAATTTTATTTACATAAGCTGTTATTAACACATTAAAATATTTATCTATAAAAGTCTTATAACAATGATTTGTACATATATTTTGAAGAGTTTCTTGAAAGTCACATTTTTATTTATATTTAATATTTTCAACACTCTCTTTTGTATAATTTTGAAAATACTTTTTAAATATTTCATTAATTTTATTCAAAGCTCCCTTGGCTTCATCATTTGGAAATTTATGGACATGTGGGATTTTTGGAGACGCTTGTTTAAAATCTATGAAATAGTAAGGTGTATTTGCGAATTATTGTTTTGAGAATATTGTCTAGTATTTTTCTCATCGATCCTTTTTGCATTATTTTATTCATTTGATTTTTGTAGTTTTATCTCAAGAAATGATTCTGGTTTTACCACCCTACGGGAGTCCTAACCCCCTCAAGAATTTCTCTTCAGTCTCTATCAATCGCCAAGCACGTATTTCCATATTTCTTATGTCTTCATCGATATTATCAAGGGACCTTGTTTTGTTTTTGTTCATTTTGTTTCATCCGCATTACATGCCCTATCTACTTCAGACGACATATCTTAATATGTTTTACGATATCAGGTTCCTGGTATATTCTATAAAGTTCGAAGTTGTATCGTCTTCTCTACACTCCATTGTTATTCACTACTCCATAAATTCGTCTTAGTACTTATCTTTCGAAATATCCTAACATGTTTTCATTATTTTTTGTTAAAGTCCAGGTCTCTGAACCATATGTTCAGAACTGGGCGTATTATTGTTTTGTAAAGTTTTGTTTTTGTATTTCTCGATATAATTGTGGATGTAAGGAGGAGATTGAGCCCAAAATAGCATCTGTTTGCCGTGCAAATTCTGCCGTTTATCTCTGCGGTAGTATTTTCTTTTGACGCCTCTCGTACAGCGTTTTTAGTTCTCCCAACAATATTGATATCATCAGCATAGGCCAGGATTTGCACTTGTTTATTATATATTGAACCAGTGGTTGTGATTTGTGACATACGTATTACTTTTTCCAGAGCCAGATTGAACAGTATACAGGAGAGAGGGTCCAGATCTTAATATGGACAATAAATTCATCTATTGAATTCTTTGGTTCCGTGTGAATTTTTCCTAAATAATTTTAGAAGTTGGGAAAACTTTAACGAGTTTGTAGGTCTATAAGAACTTCATTTAGTCATTCATCACGTGCGAATAATATATGTACGAAAAGCAGGTGCAAGCATAGAATAAAATGTCTTCATCGATATTTTTATTATATAATCTAAAAAACATTAATACTGTACAATTACATTTGGCTTAGAAATACTTGGTTCCAATGAAAACCCGTCAAACTTTAAATAAGGAGGTTACTAGCTTATAGTTTACGAAGTTTTACATTGTTCTGAATAATTCCCTAGATCTAAACTTATTCTATCAATTATAATCTTCAAATCAGACAATAATTTGAGTTTTGAAGGGTTTATCTTATATATTAATATATATAGTAAAAATTGTGATCCATAATACACATTTTTCTTGAGTTACAAGCGAATTCTGAATGCACTGAAAAAAAATATAAAAATATATATTTATAATTAAAACAGTTTTATCAAAATGAAGATGTTATTTATCGCTAAATGTAAGTAAATATTTCTAACGTATATAACGAAGATAATTGTTCGATAATTACGTGGAAATGGCCTGAATTCAGAGTAATCTTTTTCACAATTCTGTAGATTCTAATGGGTTAAATACCGAGTCGGTTTGATATTGAGCGGGGAACTCCGAACTGATTCATCATTATTAGCAGCTATTCCATTCATCGACGGATGTAAGCCTACCATAGGTGTGTCCATTCAAGCCAGTCGCTTGATATCATCAGTCCAACTGTTTTGAAATCTGCATCTACTTCTCTTATTTGCTCTTGGTCGCCATTAAACAATTCGCTTCGTGCAAGGTTGTCTTCCATTCTTTCTATGTGTCCTGCCAGTTCCATTGACCATTGCATAACATGGTAATCTTTTGAATTATGTCTATTACTTTTGATCGTCTTCGTATTTCTTCATTGGATTTGCGATCGAAGCAGTCCCGTTCCATAGCTCTCTGGGTCACTTAAAGTTTGTGGACTATGTTGTTATTAAAAGCCCATGTTTCAGTTCCATATGTCAGAAACGGCAAGACGTACTGATTGAAAGCTTTTGCATTTAAAGTATTTGGTAAGTTTGATTTAAATACTGTTTGTAATTTTGTAAATGCTCCCATTACTAACGAACATCTTTTATTTAAATAAACTTTCAGGTTAAGTTTTGATAGTTCGATTTTTTGTCTTAAGTATATATACGACTCAACCTTTTCAATATTATTAAGCTCCAGAGTTATATCCTCAGGTAGGTATATCTAGAGATTCGTTTTTTAAATATTTAGTTTTTGCTCGATTTATTTTTGATCCTATTTCTTTTGATTTTGTATTTAGGTTTAATAGTATTTTCTGCAATTCTTCTGGCTTTTGCTATTAATAGTTCTGGTTTTCGCCGTCTATCGTCACTCCTTTATTTGCCCATTCTAAAGTTCGCAACCTACTTCGTTCGTATACAGAGTATACTACGCACCGTATCCACAGCACAGCGCGTCCTAATGGCTAAAGGCCAATATGGTTATAGTTATAGGACAATAACAGAATAGATATAAAAACGCTAAAATGAAATAGACCCCAGCGGATCAACTGAGAGCATGACATAGGTTTTATTGTTGATTGAACAAGCCACATACACACGCACAAATGCATCATGCTTATTGAGCAAATCACACAGCCGCACCATAACTAGCTCAGTCAACAGTAAGATTTGTGTACACGACTTTTGCGCTCATCAATCCCGAGGCGTAAGACCATCGTAATTAGAAGATACATGTACAGGAGACAAAGTGTTGCCTAAGCGATGCTCAGAAACCTGGCGAACTCTGGGGAATTATAACCTAGGCACAGTATGAGCACAGTATTGTGCCTGACAGCATTTCATCATCATCACCCAGGCCCTTGCGTCCACTGCTGGACATAGGCCTTCCTCATTTTTGTCCATTGACAAAACATTCTATGACAAAATAACAGATCTATCGGGTGTTGACAGAGAGCTAAAAGTAAAGTTAACTTTTTGTTAAGTTTTTGGCTAAAGTGTAGTGTTAGGGTTTTCAGGTCGCGTAAGTAACCCTAACATGACTTGCCGATACCGAGGGCTTTACGTGCGCTTTAAAGCACGGTCGGGCTTTACGTGCCGGGTCAGTTAAATAAGAATTTAAAAAAATTCTGGTATCAGTGCCGGGAATCGAATAATGTCACAAAATATAAGACCAACCGAAATCAAAGCAGGAATCGTTTTAATACTATTCGAATTTGCTCTTTAGTTTTCAATGGCGCAGACGAAGGACAGTCTAAACTATGGACACAAAGAAGTATTATCTGCCATCAAAGAAGACAAAAACAGATTTATTAGCTAAAAAAGTTATAATAACAATTGGATTTTGAAATTTTCTTGAAATTATGTTGACAAAATCAAAGATAAATGATCTCATTTCTCTCATGGTAAAGAGAAAAGGTTTTTCTATCCGAAAAACGCATCTGTCCACAAACCGGCGCTTGCAATGACCAATATTTGTGATTTGGGTTTTTCGAAAAAAAAAGCTCATGTTTATTCTGTTAGGCCACATAATTATCGAACAGCATCTTTATTTAATGGTATTTGAAATTTTAAATCAATAATAATAAATAACTGAAACCATTAACCAGATAGATCACATCCTAATAGATGCCAGGCATTCTGTTTCAATGAGATGTGATAGATATAAAGGACCTAAAATATTCACCTTAAAAAATCAGACGATTTATCAGTTATATGTTCAAATTCTGCAAAAGAAAGGGACCTATCGTCATCAAAATCGGCTTCTTCCAAAATATTATCAATCAACATGTCAATTTCCGCATCCGTTAGTTTATATTCACCAGTTAATGTTCTAATCACTTCCTGTAAATCCGATTTACCTAACATATCGTCACCATCAAAATCTAAAAATTAATTTATATATTAAAAATTTAAATAAAAATTGTTTACATAAAAATTCGTCCTAAAATTTATTTCAAACACAAATACTATAAATTTTAGTATTTAGATTGTAGGCTATAGGCAGTGGGATATAAAATTTACCACATTTCCTGTAGTTGTGGTTCACTTAATGTTACAACCAGGAGTTGTACAACACACAGCTTGCAAAGGATGCAATATGCACATTTTAAAGCAAATTGCAGCTTTCAGAAAAAAAAATTACAGCTATTTTTGTTGATGATCGATTAGAGCTTATCAAAAGATTGACAAATAATTTGAAGCAGATAATGATAAAAGTTACATTGATTCAAGACCCATTTAGTGCCAAGACTTCATCAAAATTTATTTCTTTAGAAGTAAATTTTGATTTATTGACTTGTCTCGCGGTAATACTTTAAAGCTAAAATTTAATAGCATGGAACTGTCTAATTTATGGATATTAGTAAAAGAAGAATATCCACTGGTTGGTGGTAAAGCTCTACAAATATTAAATTGTATTTGCAACATCCTATTTGTGCAAAGGTGGGATTTTGGCAGTCACATTAATCAAAAGTAAATATTGCTCAAAAAATAACATTGAAAAAGAAATGAGTGTTACTGAAACACCAGTTGTGTCATGGTGCCGGAACGTCGTTCCGGTACATGTTAAAAAAAGAAAAAAAAAATAAAGAATTTAGGTTTTGTAAAATCGTCGCAGGCCTACTACTGTCTACTACCTAGTGCACGAAAACCAGAGTGTACGACCACGGCCGCTCGCCCCATAGTATTTGTTTCTGTATAGTTTACTCGAACAAATAATAGTAATTCGCGTATGTTATGTACATATATAGTAGGTGTAACGATACATAGTAACAAATATAGTAGGTGTATTTTATACAACTTTTATTCAAGTGTGATAAGTGGAGTGGAAAATATTGCAATGGAAGCTCAGAGGAAGAAGTAAAACAACTATGTCATTTTTCGAAGTAGTGAAAAAAGAACCAACTTCTTTTGGAAGTTGCTACAGATGAGGAAATAATGATAATTTAACCGAACAGTCTAATTCAATTGACGTTGTCCATGTCCTAAGCCGGATGAGTCTGATAGACTTGATCTGCAGCAATGGCCACTGAATTAAAATGGCTATCTATTTGGAACTAAGAAATGTGGGAGCGAAAAAAAGAAGCTTTTCCTTGGATTGATTATAAGGAAGGAAACTTGGCTGTAGTGTTTGTAAATACGTGTCGGACTTGTCGACTCAACTCACATCGATGAGAAAAAAAATTCCGACCATAAAACATCCTCTAGTCATAAGGCAACCAAAAATATTGTTGAAGTAAGCAAATCCCAAACTATTGAAAAAGTCACAGATGTCATGAATGTTTCGCACCTCGAAACAACAAAAGTTGTTTTCATAACCGCTTACTATCTAACCAAGAGCAATAGGCCTTACTCAGACTTCTTTGACCTGTTACAATTGCAAAGATTGAACAATGTTGATATTGTAATCGAACATCGAGCACTAGAAATACTGCTGCAGAAATAATTGATCTCGTTTTAAGTGAAATGAAAACAAAAATTATCAAGTCAATTTTAAACATTTCAAGTAAAATATCAGTTATTGTAGATGAGTCAACAGCTGTAGGCTCAAAATCTAATCTAATAGTGTATTTAAAATGTGAGTTCAGCAAAGAGCAGAATCCCCATTTTTTGTTCTTAGAGTTGATTGAACTGAGCAGTCAAACATCTAAGGTAATTGTTGAATGTTTGCTAAACTGTTTGAAAATAAGCGGATTTGATTATATTACTTGAAAAAAAAATTGTTTCATTTCTAAGTGACGGTGCCAGTATCATGTTGGGTAACAAATCAGGTATAGCTGAAAGATTGTTTGAGATGTCATCATCATCATCCAGCCTCAAGAGTCCACTGCTGAACATAGGCCTCTTCCTCATGTTTCCAACCCCGTCAAAAGGAAAGTGATCAGTACCCAACTGACAAATCAGTATGAAATGGGGAAGAACAAATTCAAAATCTCTGCAAAATGTTTAAGCTTAACTAAAAGAAAATATCAAACTGCTTTCGAGATTATATTGAGGCCAATTCACCTTTAAAAGTACCAAAATGTCTCATCCCGTTGTTGAACTGCACTAAACTGATTCCATGTAGTTTGTGCGAGTGTGAACAAGGTTTTAGTCTCATGAAGCAGATAATGACTGATTTGCGAAATAGACTCTTAACTAGACATGTTTCAAGCCTTATGTTACAAAAACAACATGGACCAAGTATAAACGAGTGGAATGTGGAACCCTGTGTGAACACCTGGTTGAGGAAACACCACACAGTAGATGACACTAGGACATGCACGGAAAAAAGCTTCTCCGGAAGAAGAAAATCCATTTGTTCAGTTTTTGTAAATTGATTAACTTTTTAAATTTAATCTCTTGAAGTTAAAGAAAATTAATATGTTCAAATATTGTAATTTTGATTGAATGTGGAACACTTTCCTTTGTATGTTACAACACCACCTTTCGTTCTTATGTTGTATTATCATGTAAATAAAAAAACTAGTTTATTATAATTGTATGGTTTCATTTTACAATAAATGGTTACATATTTAAATTAGGCTATGTTGTCTTCTTTTCTCACAATTAAAATAAAATCAAAAATTCTAGAACTGAAATATTTTTGAATTAAGCAAATGCATATACATTTTAAAATATGCAGATGTGTCTTAAAAAAACCTAAAGTAATATTTTACTTGTAAAAAAGTTAGGGAAAGTGCGTTCTGGCACTGCTAATTTTGCCATGACACCACTGTGAAACACACTAACCCTTTTAAACGAGTTTCATTAATTTATGTTATGGTAAAAACTAGAAACATTTATTTATATCATACTGTAATTCTACTTACATAAAATAGGCAAGTTACGTACATATAGATTACCAAAATATAGATAGACTTTCTGAATCTTAAGTATAATTTAAACTGTAACCAATGCAAACTAAATTTTTATACTGATTGTTGACATATATTTCCAAATAAAAATGTACTATGTAGAACATAATATTACCAAATATACGAAAGGCATGTTCAGCTTTTACAGACTTTGGGGCTGTTTCGCTAAACACTGACATCATATCCAAAAAATCTTCAAAAGTGCAATGGCCATCATGACTTGAGCTGAAAACTTTACATATACGCTCCCCAAATGGATTAACACTCAGTTCTGGATATAATAAAATTTTTTCCATTGGTAGTTTGGCATTTTTATTGTGACCTACTTTCTCTGGAGCGAGAGCTTTAAATTTTTGATGAGCACTAAAATTATATTTGATTTAGAAATATAAATATATAAAAATATTGCTGAGTACCACTTACTGCAAGACTTCCTTTTTAGTAAAATATGTTAGATCCTAAAAATATTTGGAAAAATTATATTTTGTCGACTTTATTTTTATTGCGAATTAGACACAACTTTAGTTCAAAATATGTTTGTTTTCGACGTTTCGATTTTCATTTCGGAAATACAAATTTGTATTTTGAGAACGATTTCGGAAGTGGAAATCTAAACGTCAAATATCAATTATTTATCTATGATAAATATATTGTAAACTAAAATTGTGGTTAATTATCAGTAAAAATAGTATTAAGTATTAAATAGTAAGAATATTTTGTCTTACTTGGTAATTCTGCAGTTCATCGTCCGTGAATTGGCTTTTTGCTTGCCCCATTTTTTTATAAGTCTACGTTTGTACTACCCTACAGTCTAATATTATCTACATATACTGACATAAACATTAATATTTAGTAATTGTGTAAATTCTTTATTGCGCGATAAAACAGATATGAATTTTATGATTTAAATAAAGATACTAAATTATCAAAATATTGGGTAGGGTTTAACAAAAATTTAAGTTTAGCATTATTTATCTATGCATTAGACAATGGAAATATGAGTCATATATTTATCATTAATATATCAAATGAACAAGATTATGATTTTTTTATTAATCCAAGTAGTAAATTCATAAACATTGCCTTGTCCAATCATGTATTCAATGAACAAAGGAATATAAATAAAGATTATTTCCTGTATTTTTTAGAAGAGTTAATACGTCAAAGGTGTGGCTGTACGATTACTGATCAATAAGTCATGGTCTTTTTCTATAGGAGCTACAGACATTCTTAGCTTAGGACTCAGCTAGAGAGAAAATCAACTTTTGTTGTACGGATATAAAGTTGTAGTAATCTTATAACACGTCTTTTGTCTCTTTATAGAACCAAATGATGTAAAATTACAGACAAAATGCATATTTTGTCATAAAAATTGATATATTTTTAAATTTATCAACTGAGTATTGAATTTAATAATAGACAAGGCCAGTTAAAAAGAAGAGATAGTTGTTTATTGACGTCATACATTTATGTCGTGTCAGTTGTTCGGTGGTGTCAGTTTTAGGTGACTGTGGTCAGATGCCATCGTTTGTCAAAATAGAAATAGAACAGTAAAGTAGTAATGATTAAATTTTTCCAATAGTTCTAAGAAAACTGCAGTATCTGTTAACTTTATTAAGCGATTATTATCCATGCACCTGTAGGTAAACATTCGCGATCGTATTTCTAGTCTTTGTTAGTTCATAATTTCCACCGTGCCTTCAAAAGGTATAAAGGTAAATAAACTGGTAAATATTCTGTCTGGTAATATCCAAATGTTTTTATTATTAACTCACTGCTCTTTTTCATTTTATAGATTGATAGAGTGTGGGGTTGGGCGTCTCCGCCCTTACGCTTACCATTGGCAGGGCACATTAGAGGTCCGGGTCCATGTAGAATGGGCGAAACAACCGGAGGGGAGCGGCCCCCATCACCTGCCCGTTTAGCCCATTCCTCAGAAAAGCACCCCAAAAATACTCTGGCAGAGCTAAATCTTCTACGTAGACATAGAGAACTTTGTGATGTAGTTTTGAATGTAGGAGCAAGAAAGATTTTCGCCCACAGAGTAATATTGAGTGCTTGTAGTCCCTATTTCAGGGCTATGTTTACTGGAGAATTGGCGGAATCTCGGCAAACTGAGGTCACAATTAGGGATATAGATGAACATGCAATGGATTTACTTATTGATTTTTGTTATACATCCCATATTGTGGTTGAAGAATCAAATGTCCAGATGTTATTACCAGCAGCATGTCTTCTTCAGGTATGCTCTGAATGGTGTTTTTTTTCTTGCTAAATATTTTTAACAATCCAATAATTTTTAGCTGACTGAAATCCAAGATATTTGTTGTGAGTTCTTAAAACGGCAGTTAGACCCATCCAACTGTTTGGGAATAAGAGCATTTGCAGACACTCACTCATGCAGGGAGCTACTGAGAATAGCAGACAAATTTACACAGCACAACTTCCAAGAGGTCATGGAATCAGAAGAATTTCTTTTACTTCCAGTTGGGCAGTTGGTTGATATTATTTCCAGTGATGAATTAAATGTCCGTACTGAAGAGCAGGTATGTAAAATTTTATATTTTTATAATAAAAATATTACTGCAGGTGGTGCATTGAATGGTAATTATGCACTTTTTAAAAATATTTTTCTGTACATGTTTATATATTTTATAAATGTAAAAGTTTTTGATATATTTTGTTTGATTTTGAAGAAATTGGCTTCCAAATATCCTTTTCGTATGAATTTTTTACTACTAGTTAAAAATTTTGTTAATGTTAGTCCATATGTTAACTACTAACTATTTATTTCCAAGTTATTTTTAAAATCTAGTGTTTTCTAAAGTTTTGGATACTTATTTAGTTCCTAACCATAAGAGACAGCTAATTATCCAGATCAAATAACTATTTTTGGTTGTTATTACTGCTTGCAAGTATTTGAATTCTTTGACAACTTTGAAATTGTCATTTATCAAAATGTTTTGTCTAATTTTTTGTCTTGGATTTTATATCTTTTTTGGCCTTAAGAACAAGGAATTATCACAGATTTCATATTCTTTTTTACCATAATAACTGATAAACTATATAAGCCAATTTTTTGAATGCTTGGAGAATGAGAATTGATTTCAACTTATTGCAGCATTAGTTCTAAACTATATCTTATTATATTTGTTCTGTTCAACATATAAAAGCAAATACATAAATATTGTACCTATCATTTTATTACCTATATAATTACTTCAATTTGATTTTTAGTTTTTTACCACCCTTTTTAATTTGCCTTTCTTGTTAGGATTTTACCTTCTTTTTTAATTGTTTTGTCTTTTGTTCTAATCCATGTCTGATATATGTTATGTGTACCTCATCTCAGGTATATTATTAAAGAAGTGGTAGGATGGCTTTGACAAAAAAATAATTTTGAACTTGTCTAATTTGGGGAAGAATGTTACCCTGTAGTAAATTTAAAATAATAATTTATATTATAATATATAATTGAGATTAACAATAATTTTGTAAAGCACAAGTAAGGCGATATATTTTGTATATTTTAATCTTGAAATATTTTTAGGTGTTCAATTCAGTTATGAACTGGGTAAAATATAACGTTTCGGAAAGAAGACCCCACCTTCCACAGGTACTGCAGCACGTCAGACTCCCTCTGCTGACTCCTAAATTTTTAGTGGGGACTGTGGGCTCTGATCTTTTGGTCAGGTCTGATGAGTCTTGTCGAGATCTGGTTGATGAAGCCAAAAACTATCTTCTACTACCCCAAGAAAGACCACTAATGCAAGGTCCCAGAACTAGACCAAGAAAGCCAACAAGAAGAGGTAGGATACTAAACAGTTTACAAGTTGTGTTTTGTTTAAACACAAAAGATGCCGAAAGTTCTTAATCTCTTCTTGTCCCCACCTTTTTCTTCTTATTTATTAACTTCCATCTCACATTCCCAAATCAAATTTTCTAATGTTTGTGTATATAGAATAAGGATTTTTGATAATGTTGGTGCATCTTCATCACTGTTTTTGCTTTGCACTCAATTACATCATATATTATTAAATATAGTCTATTCTATGGGAAGTTTAGTGTTGGTGTGATAACATTGTTATAAAATCATCAAATTGTCATGTAAAAAGAATATTTTACTGTTCATAGGAAACTAATATTTATCTTTCACTTTATTTAGAGAAACATAGTTCTCTAAGATATTAGTAGATAATAAAATTAATGGATAGATACTATATTCTAAAAAAAGTTTTTAAATACTGAAGCAGACAGTCTAATTACACAGGTCAACAAATTTAAACTTTTTTCGAAGTAACATTGATGAAAATAGCTATATATCTAGTATTTTATAGTGCTAAATCTGAAAATGGTAAACTAACTACTCTAAAATATAGTTTGTCGTTTCATTTGTGAAGGGTGGTGAAAAGTAAAAAATTAAAAAAATAAATAGTTGGATGGAAGAAATCTTACAAGTTTAATCTTCTATTGTATAACAATACAAAAAGTCCTTTAGGGTGAAGCAAATGTGCTAAATATGAGAAGTACTTAGATGATACATTTTTTTCTGTTGTTGTATATATGTAAATATATTTCAAATTTAAATGCCTATCTCCAAACTTGCAGATCACTGATGTGAAACAGCTTCAAAATAAGTTACAGTGGACGTAACTTCAAACAATGATTTAACAAACACAACAAAATTGAACCGAGTGCATAAACAAATATAATTTGAACTATGAAATTATTGCAAAAGAATTTAGCAACTGTTCCAACTCTTCCGGAAGGTAAACAACCTCGTAATTAAAGTATAGATATCTATTATCATTAAAATATGTAAATAATTATATAAAGGTATATATGAAGTTAAGAGTAAAGTGAGATTACAAATTAGGGGCTATTGCATACTTAAAAATTTACTACTTCTCATCAAATTTGTCTAAATATTTAGTGCAGGTCTTATTTTCTTCGGAATACCTCAACAATTATGCATTCAAATTTTTAAAAGGAAATATTCGTAGCCACCAAAGATACAGTGAGTTTGAAAATGAAAAATCATTAAAATTTATTTTTCTCATTTTTGCATAAAAATTAATCTTTGAACTTATTCCAACAATTTCACTTAAAAATAAACATCAAATTGATATTCAGCAATCTCGAAACATAAAGTATGACTGAAATTGGACATTAATCTGAGGTGGTCATATTTTTGATTTCTAATCCTTTTTTTTTTGGAGATGTATATAGGAAATAAAACTGTCTTTTATAAAAAACTATGAATATACTTAGGTGTCAGTATTGTTTGATATGTCATTAAAATTAGAATACAAGGAGCCTTAATATAAATGTGCATATTTACAAAGAAATAGTGAAAAATGGGTAATTTTGAAGGATTACTGGGTTAACATTAAATTCTTTCATATTTACGTATAATATTCAAGTGGTAATTTAAAATGAAAAATATAAATATGCTAAGTAATGTCGAAAGAAAGAGAGCTAGTTGATGAAATAAACATACGAAATTGGCTGCAGACTGAAAAAATCACAATACCAGTTGTTGCAAGCGATTACACAGGAAAAAATCAAGGAAAAATATGGCGTTTGAGCGTGACGGGTCACTTGGTTCCGCAATATTGGATAATGCTTCAACTACTCTTCAACCAGCTCAAATTTAAGTAGAGCACGATGTTAACGCTATAATTTCGAACTTTACCGCCTATATGACAAACCTGATATTATTAGGTCCATCAAAATAAACCGGCTGCGGGGGTTAGGTCACATAGAGAGAATGAATGAGATGGAGCCGCCAAAACATATTTATAACCAAAGAATAGATGGTGTGAGAAGGAGAGGCAGACCCAGAGCACAATTTAAGGATCAAGTGGAAGAAAACTTGAGAATGTTGGGAGTAAGAAACTGGAAAGCCAAGGCGAAGAATAGGAGAGAATGGAGACTTATCCTTGAGCAGGCCAACACCCTCCATGGGTTGTGGAGCCAATGATGAATGATGATGTTAAAGCAGTCAAGAGTTTCACAGATCTAAGAGTTGAATTAAATACAGGGGGAAGAGAAGCTAAAATTCCCAAACGAGAAATGAAGGACAACAAAAGGGCAGAAGGAAAGAAGCTAGTTGATGAAAAAAGATACCAAAACTCCAATATCTGGACCACCTAATAAAAGGATCACAGTACCAGCTCCTGCATGTTATTACACATGAGAAAGTGTAGGTTTTAGGTCATCTAACCAGCTCTTCAGAGCAGCAGTAAACAGAATCCAAATGATCACAACAATGGAAAAATATGGCACCTTAAGAACAAGAATGTAGGAAGGCATTTAAAATAATTCTCAGAAATAGTTTTTGATGGATGTCATTCACTGCTTTATAATGAAGTTTTATATTTTCAATAAGTGCTTGTACGAGGATGTGGAGAAATTTTTAGACTACTATAGAAGCACACGAAATTTGAAGTTAAAATATTTTATTATTCAACACTCTCCTCTTAATTGGTTACATTTATTACAATGAACTTGCAATACCTCTAGGTCTACAAACTTCTATCACCACTTTTTTTCACTATCTGAGTAACAGCACGGCTTAAGAAGCACTCTTTTATGCTTCTGGTCAACATTTAGAGATTTAAAGATCCATTTTGCAGAAATTTTTTTCATGACCCAATCAATGTGAACTATATAATGAACGGTTTTATATGAAATATTCAATGCCTCAGATAATGATCTTAGATCAATTTGGCGGTCTGAGATTGTCGTGAACTGCATTGATATTTACGGTGGTGCCCGCATAAACTGGCCTTCCCGATCGATCTTCATTCTCAATGGAAAATTTTTCTCTTGTGAAACTTACAATCGAATTCTTCTTGGTTGCATACAAAGGACATCGAACGCCAAGAGTGTTGAGCTTATCGTCGTAAATCTACTTACCTCTTAACGCCTTCAAATACCTCTTAATGCCTTTAAATATAGGTATTTGATGATGGCTCGATAGTCCAGTTTTCATATTTTCAACTTTTAATGTAATTTGAAAGAATTTACAGTTGACTCAGAATTTCAGAATTAATAAAAGGGTATTTAGCTTAATATTTTAACTTAAATATAAAAGAGCTTTCTCACCAATGTTACAAAAACCATGTCGACCTGTGTGATCTACCCATTCAGGTCTCATTATCGCTCTAAAATTGGTCAATCATTTTTTATTCAAATGTGTTTCATGTTTTTTTTTAAGTTTTTTTATATAAGTGAAATGGTTAACTTTTATTAAAGGAATTTTTCTTTGAGTCTATCTGAACGATTGTTGTTGCAAGTTTATCATTTTTTATTCAAATAATCTCTGTGTCCTTGTATGCATTTTAAAAGATTCTCTCTGTTTGTTCGATGTATACTTTTTGACAGTATTGACTTGTGTGTTTGTAAACTTGGTTTGTCAATAATTCTTAGGTTTTTGTTATATTTTATATATAAAAGTGTCGAAGCGAAAGAACTGAGATGTATTGTATGTATGCAAGGAATTTTATTTAATTTGTTCTAACGCAAAATAGCATCTTCTATCAGAGATTAGCTCCTTACCTGGTAAATGGTAAAACGACCATTTCTTATAGAACCGGCCCAAAATCCTCTGGAGCAGGACTGAATATTCATACATTGTATAGGAATTTTCCCCCTTTTCTGGTCATATTAAAAACATTGTTTCAACCAAATATATATTTTAACCTTCGATTGGCGTAGGTGAAGTACTGTTTGCTGTGGGAGGTTGGTGTAGTGGTGACGCGATTGCTTCAGTAGAAAAGTTTGATCCTCAAACCATGGAATGGAAAATGGTAGCTCCCATGAGTAAGAGAAGATGTGGTGTTGGCGTTGCGGTGCTGAATGAGCTTCTATATGCTGTTGGCGGACACGATGGCCAAAGTTATTTGAACAGTATTGAAAGGTAAGTGAATTAATTATAGAACCTTTTTGTTTTACTTAAAAAAGGAAAGAGGTAATTTCTTGATTTTTATTTTTCACAGGTATGATCCACAAACAGATCAATGGTCCTGTGACGTAGCACCTACCACTTCTTGTAGAACTAGTGTTGGGGTTGCTGTATTAGACAATTTGCTGTACGCTGTAGGTGGTCAAGATGGTGTCCAGTGCTTAAATCACGTTGAGAGGTCAGTATGTTTTAGTTGTTTCTTGTTTTCTTTAAGAATTAATACTTTTCCAGGCATTTTTATACATATTTAAGTACACTGTTGGCAAATAACTAAATAAAAATATTGCTTAATATCTTGCCAAGATGGCTCTGCATACTATTCACTTCTTTGTAAATATTTTTATGTAGATCTCTATCTTCAGTCGTTTTTTTTTAATTTGGCATTAGTCTTTTACAGATTTCTGTGATTTGGTCAGTCCATCTTGTTGAAATTTTTTTTACAAACTGATGATTTATTACCGATTTATCACTGATTTATTACCCTGAAACCGATTGAGATATGCAAATGAAATTTGATTGGTTTTAACCAGAGATATGTAAGAGAGGGGATATGACCATCGAGCAAAAAGTCAAAAGAGGGAATGTAAAGGTAGTGGAGGCAAAAATATTATTAGACAGGAAGTGCGATCTTTAGAGGCCACATTAAACAAGGAAAGAGAGTCTCTCTCCTTGTTTGACATCAAATTTAGTTGGGTTATGTTGTTGTTTGTCCCAAATGTCACATGAAATCTTATTTATATTGAAGTTTTTTAACAATTGTGTTGCATTTTAGACTATTACCGTTAATAATTAATTAATACTTTCTCGTCTAAGACACATTCTGAAAAATATTATATAGCTACTGTTAATAAGTGTCGGAAAATTTAAATTTGGCGCATTCGCATTTCTGGATATGTCCGCCATCAGAGGCCACTTTTTTGGTCTCCTTTTCATAAGGATTAGATTCCCTCTTTTGAAGAAAATGTACAAAAAATTATGGAAATGATGACAGGAGTGAGTATAAAGATAGAAGAACAATCAAGAGAACTCAGCGAAATTCGTAGAGAACAAAAAGAATATAGAGAAGAAATAATACAGTTAAGACAAGAGATTGTAACATTAAGGGAGGAAAACACAAAACTAAAAAAGGGAGTTTTTCAAATGGAAGAACGGCTCGAAAGTTTGTAAAATGGAAAAAGGCGTAAAAATATAGTTATACAGGGCGTGAACATAGATGCAAATGTCCCAGAGACTAAAACATGAAATAAAAAATTTTATGCAGGTAGAATTAGCAGTCGATGTTCAAATAGAGAAGGTTGTGAAGCTGGGAGAAAAAGTCTGTCTGGTTGAGCTTGAAAAGGAAGAGGACAAAAGAAAAGTCATGTGAAACAAAAACAAGTTAAGAAACCGAAGAAAAAGTCTAGTTTATATCAATGATGACCTGTCAACGAAGGATAGAATTGTACAGAAATATGTCAGACAGAAAGCGCAAGAAGTAAGAAAGGAAGGGAGAAAAGTGAAAGTAGGATATAAGAAAATATATTCCGATCAGGAAATATGGCATGAACCAAACGTTGGTGGTAGAGACCAAAGCAAAAAACTAAGGAAACGACGAACAATGCGAAGAAAAGGATTGCGAACTATGAAAACGAAACAAAACCAGACAGTAATACAAAGGTAAAGCCGAAGAATGACAAGATACATTTAGCTACATGGAATGTCAGAGGAACCTTTTATGAAGGTGCGCTAAAAGAACTAATGAATGAGGCAAGGAAGTATAAAATCGATTTAATGGCTCTTCAAGAGACAAAATAATTAGAATCGGAAATAACTGATGTAGAAGATATGGTGCTCTTCAAAAGTGGAGGTAAAGATAGAATGCTTGGAACTGGTTTTTTAGTAGCTGAATGTATCAAGGATAAAGTAATAGGATGTGTTCAATATTTTAATCTTTTTATCCTTTTGTCCACCAGGTCTTTCAGAGTAGTTAAGAATGTTATATAATAATATACATATTTAAGTTAAAGTTGTGTTTAAAATAATTGTAATTAGTTATTATAAGGATTATGTTAAAAAAAAAATGCCCTAGGCCTTGACGGCCTGTTGTGCGTAAAAATAAAAAATAATGTCCTATTTATGGATAAGTAAAATAAAACTTATTATAATGACGATTCAACAATTTATATGTTCGAGATTTATACTTGAATACAGTTTATATTAAACATAATCAACAAGAATAAATCACTAAACGAGTTACACCTATTACAGCCTAAAATATTTATGGAATTTTTGTCTTTACATTTAAACAAATTTTAAGGATTGAAAAAATTTAATTTTCAGTGATCTATAAATAGGATGCTGGCCTAGAATGGCTTAATATTGCAGTTTCAGACCTCATTACCGTGGTGAAAAATACAGTCTTTGGCTAAATTATCATAAGAAACAGAATAGAGTAATACAAATGTTCTAAGATTTCTTCATAGCTAAAAAATTTCAACCTTGCAAATGAAAATGATGCATGACTTAAAATTATTATTTGACTATATATTAGACTGTTATTTTGAATAATCATTGAGTATATTGTTGCTTTAATTTTTCCACAGGTACGACCCAAAAGAAAACAAGTGGTCGAAAGTGGCACCGATGACAACGAGGAGATTAGGTGTAGCGGTAGCTGTCTTGGGTGGATATCTTTATGCCATAGGCGGTTCGGACGGTCAATCACCTCTAAATACGGTCGAAAGGTACGATCCGAGACACAATAAATGGACTCTGGTCAGCCCTATGTCCACGAGAAGGAAACATTTGGGTTGTGCTGTGTTCAATAACCTGATCTACGCAGTCGGAGGACGTGACGATTGCATGGAGTTGAGTAGCGCTGAGAGGTACAATCCTCATACTAACTCATGGAGTCCTATTGTTGCGATGACTTCACGACGAAGTGGAGTAAGTATTCATATATATTTAACTTGAAAAAAAAAATGATAAAGGTGTGTGTGATTGAATTGAAGTACTTTCAATTGTTCCTTGATTTTACATGAAAAATCCTATTTACAGGTAGTATATCATATAGGGTGATTCTTTGTAAGTTATTATTAGACTTTTTAGGAAAATTAGGCATAATTAATATTTGAAAATTTAGGATATGGGTTTTTAAATATGCCCAATTACTCTAAAATATATAGAGCCTCCTACCGCTTCCGGTTATACCGGAGTGGTAACAGAAATCCCATATCTTAAATTTTATTTTATACAGATATTAATTATGTTTCTCTAGAAATCTAATTAATTACCTCCAGAAATCAATAGAAGAATGAAACTGGCTTGGCATCTTTTGGTAGAAAAGAAATGCAGTTGTACTCAAATTGAAGTTGCCACTTTACCTGAAGAAAAAACTTGGATACTAAAGAGAGATACAATAGCTAAACGCAAGTCACTCGAAGGTCAATGGAGCGATGTATGCTAGGTCTAATAGAGATCGATAAAGAATCGAATGGATCAGACAGAAAACCAAGGTCACGTGTAATCCACCGAATTAAATCTTTAAAATGGCAGTGGGCGGGAGATTTAGCGAGAAGAACTAACAATAAATAGTCTACAAGAATTACACTGTGGTATTCAAGAGATCACAGCTCTTACGAAGCTATTCAACAACATCTACGAGACTGGTTACTTACCAAAAGAGTGAAGCACTTTTTAGTTAGCAAGTTCTAATACAGAGAGCTAGGGATATCAATTACAATGTGCGGGATGTCAAAAGCAACAGTACGATTAGAAAATGAACTGTCCGAGATCTTCACAGTCGAAAAAGGAGTTAGACAGCATTGTTGTCGGTTGTCAGCGGCATTATTTAACATATACTCTGAAAACATCTTTAGAGAGGCCTTGGACGAATCAGAAGATGAGATTGCTGTAAATGGCCAACTTATAAACAATGTTAGATATGCAGATGATACAGTGTTGCTGGCAGATAGTGCGCAGGGGCTCCAAAGGATGATGGATACCGTTGTAGAAACATGTAACAAGTACGGCCTAAAACTAAATTGCAAGAAGACAAAAATAATGATCATTAGTAAGAACACCAACATAAACGCCCAAATTATAATAGGCGATGCCGTTAGAAAGAGTGGAAAAATATGCAATTTGGGCTGCAATAATAAAGATACTTGGGATCACAACTACGAAATAAAAATTTGACCATTTAATTCAATAAAGTGATAGCGGCTTTCGCTAGAAGATTTAATCTTTTACACATTTCGCATAGCGCAGAGGATACAGAAAACGATATCATCATAACTTTTTCGTTCACAGCCGCCAAAGCAGGTGGCGCCTTTGTAAGCTAACTACGTTGTAGTGAAGTTTTGGGAGACATTCGTTGGACTTTTCCAGTTTGAATTTGTATCAGCCTAAGTGTCTGATGAGGCTGGGATAGGTCAAAATGATCATAATACTTTATTGATACCGATTCGAGTACGGGAAGTTTAACGAATTTGCCCTCCCAGGTCATATATTTGGCCATAGAAACATGATAACTCCAAAATAACGAAAATTTTGTTAAGTCCTGCACTGCATTTTGTTTTTGATCTATTTTCGTTTGATCTGACAATTGTATGTCCATCACGTCTAGAAAACGTGCCACGGCTTGGTATAATATCGATAAGTCTTAATTATTTAAATTTTGTTTGGTATAGTCTTGTTAAAATATTATATCATGTACCTGAAAACAAAACTAGACAATAACGTTTTGGTTCATATCTGATAATTGGTACTTATCATGTCTAGATCAAATCATATGCATATTCTTTTGGTAAAACATTTTGCTCCATATGTGATAATTGGTACTTATCATAATTATATCAAATAATATGCAAATTATTTTGGTAATTTTTTGATATGTACCACTTACCATCTTTGATTGAAATAAATATTAAGTATACTTAAGTTGCATTTTCTGTAATTTTTTTTATGTAAGTGGAAAATAACATGAATATATCAAATTTTTCTTTTCGTTTTTTTGTACTTATCATAATTATTCATGAGCATTTTATTATATTCACGAACGTGTCGATTGCATTATGTTTTTAAAAACACTTGAAGAAAAGGAAACTCTAAAAGAAATTCATCATAAGTACTTAGTTCCTGGTCATGCTCATTTAGAATGTGATACAGACCATGCTACCATAAAGAGATTTGTGAAAAAAAAAACGCCACAATGTCAGTTCCATAGGAAAAGGTATACGTAATTAAAATGGCAAGACCGCGTTTTGACGTAAAATTTATGGAACAAACTGACTTTTTAGGATTTTCCAAACTTCTAACAACGCATTTTATAAAAAGAAATGTTAATAAAGATAAAAATTCTTTTGTTTGGAACAGCTTATTTTGGCTACATTACAAAAAGGATAGTGATATAGGCTTCAAATACACATTAGATCCCAATGAACCGTTTCGTTCAATGTCCATGCTAAGAAGAGGCAGGTCAACTTCCATGTATAATATTCAGATACTTCCAGCTGATAATGGTCCTCTACCCATAGACCATTTGAAATATAAAGATATTCTCGACCTACTACCCTTTTGTAGATCCAATCTATCATGGATTTTACCATTTGCTTAAACACACTCGAACCAGTACCACACAATATACAAGCGACAGTGATGAAAATTTCTACTCGTAGGTTTTAATTTGGTACAAGTAAAGCCATATATTTCCACAGCACTGTTTTCCAATACAAAAAAATTGACCAATAATAGTTTAAGTTCTGTCCTCTTTGACCGTTATCTCCATTAAAATACTTTTTAAATCTCTATATTTTTGATACAGATATGATATGTGCCATTATATCAAAAACACAAATGTTAAAACATATTTCGTTTGTTACATCTGTTATAGCACTTAATCAAGTATTAAATGAAATATATTTGGTTCTTTATTTTGTTGCGTTCGATTTAAGAAACCTTCTCGAATGTTAAAATTGCTCTACTGAAAAAAAATGCATTTTGGAGTTAACACATGTCTCCCAAACACCACAGATATATATGGTTATAATACTTCTTTTCAGAAGCCACTCTCTTGACCATCTTGTCTTTTCCCTCTTCATCCCCTTTTTACTCAGTCATAGTATCGTTATAGTTGAAAAAATAAAAGAAAGCAGCCGTGTTTCCTCCATAGTAAAAAAAATCACTAAACAAACTTCACACAACTCTAGAGTCTGAATTTGAAATGAGGTAGAAAACGGAAGGAAAAACGTAGTGTGTATGCACTGGACATAACGTACATTTTGTCGTACGTTTTATATGACACAAAACGTACAAGAGAACGTAGCGTGAATCCGACCTTTAAATGTAATTCGGATGTTTATATCTTTCGGATATTTGAAATACGTGATTTAAAACCGTATACAGAATGGAACAACAAAATGCTGCAATGTAACGTATCCACTTCTCCACACGTTACAAACTTGCAAACTAAAGTGATTTTTATTACTATTAATGTTCTCATTTTTCATTTTAGGTGGGTTTAGCAGTTGTCAACGGCCAATTATACGCCGTAGGAGGATTCGACGGTACGGCGTACTTAAAAACCATAGAATATTATGATACCGATCAAAATCAATGGAGATTGTGCGGTTCCATGAATTACAGGCGACTAGGCGGTGGAGTAGGAGTCATGAAGGCGCCCCAAATAGAGAACCGCATGTGGTAGTCCAAAAGTTCTGTCCGAATTGGAGTTACGGCAGCTTTCTTGAGCACTAGAAGCTTACCTCAACCGCTGAGATTAACAACGGGTAATTTTAACGTAATATTGTGATTTAAAATCGAATTCGATTCGAATCGTCTATCGAATAATGTAAAATGGCATACGTGTAATGATCGATATTGGAATACGTTGAATAGTAAGAATAAAGCTGTAGACAAGTAACACTCAATATACCAACACATATACTTTATGAAGCAGTTAGAACTTTTAAATAAGATGAATTATTCAAGAAATAGGTTCTAGGAACGATCAACATAGGACAGTTATTCGACTATAGTTCACAGGCTAGCTTGGCCATGTTCACAATCTACGTTCTTTCTTGAACGCTCCTCAAGATAATGAACTTTTGTTTAAACAAAGAATCTAACGAAATATGAGCATTGATGTTAGCCGAACAGAAGTAATTGTATCTAATGTATAAGACGAATTAAAGAGTAATACACTTTTTAATCAGTGAATTTTTGTCGATGAACTTCCTAGCTGATTAATTCCATTCGATAAATTTATCGGATATAGAACTGCAATGCTCAATTATGTGATACCTAAATAAATAAATAAATATAATAAAAGTAAATACTGTAAATTTAAGATTTTACCGAGGGTGATTAAAAATTCGAGTACAACAGACAGCATACAATTCAAACGTGCAAGACTGTTTGTTTATTGGAACAAGTATGAGATAGGATAACGTTATTAAATAGTTGTGACTGAGGAACAAAAACTTGATGAACAACATATATTTATTCAGTAAAACATTACTAATTTTGTCTTCTAAGGATAATAACAGCTTCTATCGATTGTAAATCACATTAAAGAAATTAGAAACGGTAACGTTAGAAAAAAAATTACATCAAAAGACTTTTTTCAATTTCATACACTTGGATTATCGGTTTGGTATCTTCATCGTTCATTTTTTCCAGAAATGTCGATCTTTTGTTATTAATTATTTATTTATTTTGTTTTTAAAGACCTTTTGGCGGCCTTCCAACGGATCTTCTGCTATAAGGCTTATTGTTTTTACAGATGTTCGCTAATCTGTATACTTCTGTTGGTTTGTCTGTCTCTTAATGATTTGCCCGCTATTGATCTTAATATTTTCATTTGGATATTGTTGATTTGTTGTTTCGTCTTTCTTGTATCGGTCCTTGTCTTCGCTGCATATGTTAGGATTGGTCCTACTGTTGTCTTGTATACTTTCATTTTGCTTTCGGTGGTCAGATATTTGTTTCTCCATATGGTTTCTCGGAGGCAACCACTTACTCTTGCCGGGTCTCTGTTCTTATATCCCTGTCACTAGTGATCTCTACTCCTAGGTAATTGAATTTCATTACTTGTTCTACAATTTTGCCGTCTATTTCTAGTTTGCATCTACGCAGCTCTTTACTGATCACTATACATTTAGTTTTTTCTACTGATATTCTCATATTAAGTTTGTTTGATGTGTTATTGAAGGTGTGCAACAGTTCGCTTACTGATTTTAATAAAATTTCTCCTCCTGCTTTTATTGCCTCGATAACGAGTGGCAAGCATCACCAGGCGATCGATGGTTCTTCATTTCCTTTAAAGCTGCTCTTACTTCTGATACAGTAATGGGTAAAAGTATTTCCGATCCCTGATTTATATATGATTAGTCTTGTGGTCTGTGGCTGGTATAGAGGTCTTTATAAAACTCACTGATTATTTTCAGAATGTTTTGTTTATCTGTTGTTGCCTTTCCGTCTTTATCTCTCAGCTTGTATATTTCTTTTTTACTTTGTGTGAGTTTTCTTTTCATTATCTTTGTTCTCTTCTACTGTTTGAGTAATTACATTAGTATTATATCTTCTTACATCTTTTCTAATTTCCGATGAAATTCATTTTAGTTTTTCTTCTTCTTTCTTCTTTGTTTCCCTTTTCGTTCTCGCTTAGGTTTCGTCGTATTTGCATGAGAGCTTTTGTATCTTTGCCAATCTTTTCACTTTTGGTGTCATTTTTCTTGCAAAATTTGAGTTGTGCGTTTCTAACCGAGTCTGTTATTAATTTATTGTGATCGTCGATACTTAAAGGTTTGGGATTATTACTTTGTAAAGTTTCGGCTATATTTTTTATGTATGCTTCTGGATGATTTGGTGAATTCTAAACTAACTTTGGTGTTCATTGCATAAAGTTTGTGTTGCAGTAGAAAGTTGGTAAGCATTTCGCCTCTTTCGTTTCGTACTCCGATTCCAAAATCTCTGATTGCCACTTCTTGTTCGTCCTTTTTCCTTCCGTAATACTTTTTATTCTTGCTTGAAAAATGAGTATTAATAACAAAAATTATTTGCGAGCAGAAACATTTTAAATAACGCGCTCAATAGCTCAACTTTCCACTGCGCATGACTTAATGACTTATGGTTCAGTCATTTAAAAATGGTCGCTGTAAACTATCTAGAATTTAAATAATACAGTCTTGTTTAAAATAAATTAAATTAAAAATTACAGGGTCAATTTTTTTCAATCACTGTGTAACATCTAAGACGCCTTTTCATCATGTCACGATGCCATGTTTTTCATACTGTTTTGATCAACAATTGAGAGCTTCGGCATTATTACTTGTCAGAGAAATTTTTCCTTGTTACTCGTTTATAAATAAAGGTTGTGGAAAATTTGTAAAATAATATCATCAATCAGCTAATCGCGTCCACTGCTGGACATAGGCCTTCCTCAGTTCTTTCCAGTGTTTTCTACACTGGGCCGCTTGTAGCCAGTTTTCCGCTACACGTTTTATACCATCGGTCCATCTAGTCGGTGATCGTCCTCGGCTTCTTTTATAGTTTCTGGGCCTCCATTTCATAATACGTCTTGTCCATCGTCCATCTTGTGTTCTGGCTAAGTGCCCTGCCCTGTTCCACTTCAGCGTCGTGGTTCTTTCGATGACGTCTTGAACTCCTGATCTTTGCCTGATTTATTGGTTTGTTATGTGGTCTCGAAGGCTCACGTTCAGCATTGCACCTTCCATGGCTCGTTGTGTAACTCTGAGTTTATTCGCAGATTTTTGCGTGAGTGTTAAAGTCTCTGCTCCAGTTTCTAAAATAATTCTAACCTCACTTTCAAACGCTAGTAAATAACAAAAAAACTTACCGTTTTCTTGTAGTTTTTCTCTAAAAAACGTATGGAAACCGTAATAAAACGCAACACAACAAGTGTACTACAACACAAGTGCGTAAGCTCAAGGTAACTGCTGAACCTGACCCATGACCGTGAGTACGAGGCTATTATTCACTGCTGGCGCCCAATCGGTCAGATCGGCCGAATTTGAGTTTTGAACGGAAACTTCTTAATTTTTTTGTGGAAATTATTTTGCTTTTGTAAAATAATATTTTATTGTCTCCTTATTACAATGTTCACTTTGGCGCCAGAGAAAAATTTTACGAAAATCACCTTGGCAGTTAACCTGTCAAAGAGAATTTTTTAAGAACGACACCTTGCGGTTAATTATACTAATCTCTTGTTCCATTCTTATCTATATGCTGTTCATTTTACTAGTTTTAGTGTTCCCAGTTCAAACTTTGCTTGCTGTTTGGATTTTTGGATTCCGTTTATATACGAATTAACATAGCTTTATTCTCACTACCTTAATATTAACTAATGATATATTTGTATGAATCTTTAAGCCATAAATCACAATATGATAAAAATAAGTAAGAAAATCACGAAGAAGAAAGCAATATGTTTGACAACCTTTAATGCACAGACTTTGAACATGTTGTTACAGTCTATACCAAACTTAAAACAGAAATTAATATGTAATAGGAGACTTATGTTCCATTTATCTAGTATTTCTTGAATGTTTTGTACCGATTCATAAACTTTTTATTCTGTACAGACACTGAGTTTACTTCCATGTTGACTCTATATTGGATATTGAAGTGACTGTAGAATTTTAGTTCCTGTATACTATTGGCAAGTATTACTGTAACATTGACATATCTACCATTATATTGAATATGCAATAATTATACATCAATCTATGATCTCAAATCTATAAAACAAGCATTTACATCATTGTGACTTTAAATACTGGTTATTTCCTCATAAATCCGTTACACGTCATCAAATTTTGACGTTGTCATTTCCGCACAGCGTTGCCGTATTGTGGGAAGAGTAAAGAATGTAGGGAATTGTGAAATAATGAACGAATGAAGAATTAAAATCTTTACAACAGCTATTGAGTTATTTTGGAATGTTAATGATATAAATTAAATAAATCTTTGCTTATTCATAGTATTTTAGGTCTTTTTATATTGCATAACACTTTATGATATTAATAAAAAATACTCATAATGTGTGTAATCGGTACCTACAGTTCCTATCTGCACTCGATTCAATTTGACGCACAGTTTTACTATGATATTTAATGTAAATGATTGTTTTTTGAGTACTTTTCTCTTCGATAGATTTTATTTGATCGATAATACTACCTGTATGAGTCAAAATAATTCTAAAATGATTTTTAGGGAATTTATAAGCAGTTGATTTTACTGAAACGATGCACAAATGTCATTAATATCGTGTAACGGACTTAAACGAAATAATGCATGTTCATTTTTTACCTGTTCAAAGTCTGTACAGATTATTATAGCCCAAAGACCGACGTAACTTCAGCTCTGACATACAGGACTTACTATATTAAGATACAAAATTTATTATTCCTCTTATTTATTTTTTTATATTTTCAAGCAGCTAATATATGTATATATATATATATATATATTATATATATATATATATATATATATATATATATATATATATATATATATATATTCCTGTCTATAGTTTCTACTTTGTGGTTTATTTCTAAGTAAAGCATTGGTTAAATGTATACAATTTGTTGGCTTGACAATGTTCTATATCTAAATAGAGAAATTGTACAAAAAATGGTAATTATAACGAAGTAAAATGAAATTTTACACAATAGACTTGATTTGTCGTCTTAAGATCCCCTTTGGCAACACCTGAATTTGAACAGGTTTATTACATTTTACTCTCTGATAGATATAGAAATGACTGATAATGTCAAGCAGATCTTGTATATTAT